GAGAGAGAGAGAGAGAGAGAGAGAAAACAGCTAGTGAACTATACCCTTTAGTAAAAAGATTGTTTACCTCTTGTGTACCAGAAAAGTGAAATAATAACTTTGTAAAATATGTGCAATGACTCTCACCCTTTGTAATATACGCCTTTCCAAACTGCATGAATAGTATCCAACGTTCTCTACCCCTGCTTTCACGGAAGACAAACAAAACCCTGTAGTATTTCCTCTTTTCTTCTACATGTAGCAGCTTCGGGGGTTTAAAAAGCTCTCCAAGTCTTACTACATGCAATACCTCAAACCCATCCGCCATTTCTAGCACAACGGTTTTGACACATAATTCTCATGGATTCTCAACGCGCACAAAGATACTTTGCTATAATATTTGACTGATGGCATTTCTCGTGTTATCACACACATTCCTTGTCCTTCCCTCTATCTTACCCTTCTCGTCCTCTTCTCAGATGTGTTAGGAGTTTATTGTCACTCAAACGAAATTAACCTTGCCCTAATGTCTAAAGAAACTTGCTTCTGTGACGCATTTCGTATACATATATACTGTTATGTTTATAGTTGTCTTTTCGTGTCCCTCAAGCAAAATTAATAGAAGCTTACAACATCTATAAAGAGTATAATGATTAATAAATATTACGAATGTTCCCTACTTGTTTATAAATGACATGTATCCTGCTTATGTGAAGATAATATAATTTTGCGTGAAAGGCATTTATTTATTCCAAGTGATATTAAAGACAATCTTTGCATGTCACCAGTTTGTTAGATAGAGACAATGTCAGGCAAGAAAAGAAGTAAATACGCTGTTGCTGATGTACTGTATTCTTTTACATGTCTTATACACACTTCTTGGTCTTTAGCATTGAGAACAGGGTTTTAATCAATCAGTTTGGTTTTTAAAAAAGTTTTTTTTAGGCTTGTCCCCATATTCTTTGCGCTCTGCTAATCTAATATTCCCGCCTGTGTCTTGAAAGCTTCTATTACTACAATCAAATCTATAGAAACTTGGACCAACCCGAAAAGTCAGTTGGAACCCCCCCCCCCCCAAAAAAAAACCCAAACAAAACAAAACACACACAAAAAATACAACAACAACAACAACAACAACAACAGAAAAGCAACAAAACAACAAAACAACAAAACAAACAAAACAAACAAAACAAACAACCCCACCAAACAAGCCCAAAGCTGAGACGAGGCATGGCACTCCACTGAACATAGAATGGGTGACGAACAAGTTGCCTAAGAGTGAGACATGGACTTGAAGAGAGAAATGATATTCACTCTTTCTTATATCTATCACAAAAGCAACATTGTACAAGCTCATTTCCCAATCTTGTTCATAGCCCCAGCCCTCCCTCTCCCACCCAAACCCACCGCAACTGCTCCCAACACCCACGTGCCACCTGTATCTCCCTCCTACGTGCCCCCTCCCTCTGCCTGTTTACGTTATTGTTCACGGTTATGAAGAGCTTTCAAGACTACCAAACCCTTATCACACGCTTTTTAAAATCTTGATTTTCAAAATGCCC